GTAGGGTACAAAGCCATTGTAAAAAAAAAAAAATCTTCCAGAAACAAATGAAAACAAAGTCAAGAAGATGATACTAAAAAGGCCAGATATTCAGCCAGCACTAACAGCACACTAGGAAGACTTTTGTTTGGAGAACTATAAATCATCACTGGGGAAATGGGTACAGGTAAACACTTGAAGGGATAGACAGGGAGACAGTACGACTGAATATACTCAAGATGTTTCCTCTAAATCACTCTGCAAACAGAAAAATGCTCCAGAAAACCAGAGTAAGACTTTACTTATTTATTTTATTTGCTGGTTTGTGTCTATTTCTTACCTCTATTTAGCAATCTGGGGACTCATTAAGTTGTATTTAAACTCCACATGTAAGCAGTGAGGTTTCATTAGATAAGAAAATTATTGGGGGAAAGATCAAGGTGCCGATGTTGTCAAATGCAACCAATATCACACCCAGAAAATATACTTTATGCAAATAATACATAATAAAGCTTAAAATATGCATAACAGAGACCTTGAGTTTGCACTAGCATGAGTCCTTCGTGATGGCGTGTAAATTCTCCTGCAGCAATCGCTGCACTGCAATCACTGCACTGCATTTACTGCACTGCAATTGCTGCACTGCAATCGCTGCACTGCAATCGCTGCACTGCAATCGCTGCACTGAAAAGGTCTTCTGAGCGGATGGTTCGCTTCTTGAGTTTACTTTTCAAACTAACTCTTCAGCTCTGATTGGAACCAAGCTTAGTGTCTGACAGGACTATTGGGGTCCAGCCCCTTGTAGCTGAAAGTTTTCCTGTGTCCCACCTGGTCCGCAGCCGCTCAGACCCAAACAAACCCACACAGGCTTATATTATTTTTAATCTATGGCAATGGCAGGATTCTTGCTAGCTAGCTCTTATATCTTAAATTAACCATGTCTATAAATCTATACTTTGCCACGTGGCTTGTGGCTTGCCAGTATCTTTCCATCTTGCTTCTCCTGGTGGCGGCTAGCAGCATCTCCCAGCTCTGCCTTTTTCTCTTTCTAGTTAGAATGTCCCACCTAACCTTATTCTGCCTCACCATTGGCCAAACAGCTTTATTTATCAACCAATCAGAACAACATATAGTCACAGTATACAGAATGACATCACCCCTCAGCCCCTCGATAGCCCTCTCCCACAGTCCGTGGAAGAATCTACAACCAGCTGATATATTAATCTTTGATGATACTGAATGAATCTACGTACACGAAACTCTTTAATCCATTCACTTTATTTTTCTGAGTGAGTTCTCCCTCTACATGGCTTCTACTCTGCTCTCCTACTTAGCTCCTTTCTTGCCTGATCCTCCCTGCATCTTTCTGCTGTTCCCTCTAAGTGCCATCTTAAACCTTCATCTTAGTTCTGCCCCATCTTCTCTCTCTCATCTTGTTCTTACCCACCTAGTTCTCCCCCATCCGGCTCCTCCTCACCTTCCATTTCATCCTTCTATTTCTGTCTTCTAGTTCTCCAATCTAGTTCTCCTCCAGCCTAGTTCTCTTACAATCTAGTTCTCCCCCAAGTCTCTGGGGTTTACAGTTATACACCCATGCAATAGCAGTGCTCTGACTAAGGCGAGGTCACCAGGCTTGAATTCTTACAAGGTCATCAAGGAAGAAAAGTTTTCCTCAGGCAGTGACTCTCAGGCTTTCTTTTACAACCCAAAAAGGAAGTGGTAAAGGAGGAGGTCAACTAAGAGCTAAAATCAGTTAATATATCAGAAAAAAGGAATTTATGTGCTCAAACTACATTCGTAGAAGTGGTTAGGTAAAATGTTAGGAGTCTATAATGTTAGTATAAATCATGAGTAAAATAAAACTGCTTATATTTCTTCAGGGCTGTAACTGTCTTGGTAACTCGGTGGTGTCGTTACTGGCAGGGTGGGGACATCTAGGCAGCTGTGTCACAGCCTGATGTACCTGGTGTGCAAAAACCCTTTTGTTCTAAGTTAAACGTCAAGAGGGAAGTTCTGCTAAGGCTGTGTAAGAAAGGAGGGTCTGAGGTCCGCCTGACCTGGATGGTGTCTTCGAATGGATATTTACTTTAACTCAGGAGACTCTATTCTGTCTGCCATTGGTCTTTAGGTGTTGATAGGTGTCTCAGATAAAATGCTCTTGTTGGGAGCTAGCTCTGGCCTTGGATGTAGCTAAAGGAGATTTCTGACTCTAATGCTAAGAAAGGAGAGACAAAAGGCCTGGAGGAAGGAAGCCTTGCCTGAGGCTGTCATCCAAATGCCTCAATCCACACTGTTGAGTAGTTCTTAGGAAAAAGAGTCAATTGGGAAAACTATAAAAGTACACATGAAATCCATAGCAGAAAACAGCTGATATGTTTACAAAGCCGAGTAACACCAAGACTCCCTGAGGCTTGGCTTTTTCCTCGGGAAAAGCCCTGCGTCTTCCAGGTGTTAGCTTTTGCTATAGTCCGCTGAATTCCTGCTTCACATTCCTGTGACCTGCAGCAAGCGTCTTGCTCCGTGAAGATCCACAGAGGGGCGGACGTCCATCGTGTGAACCAACCCTCTGGCTCACTCTAAACTCATTTCTAGCTGTCATTATGACGTCTGTGAGTCTCTGACGAGCCACGTGCTGTGTCTTAGACAAGGGGCAGGAAGGTCTGGTTACTTTGACAGCCTGATGCCTGTTGCATACTTTATTATCACACTTGTTTCAATCTCCACGTTTGTTTTGAATGCGTAGGAACTGTCTTTGAATTTTTTAAATTAAGTTCAAGCCAGCTGGGTGTGGTGGCACACTCGTTTAATGCCAGCCCTCAGGAGACAGAGGCAGGTGGCTCTCTGTGAGTTCGAGGTCAACCTAGTTTATAGGCCAGTCAGGGATATATATGTAATTACAATGTAGAACATCGTGTTTGATTTACACACACACACACACACACACACACACACACACACACACACACGCACACACACACACAGACCCACACCCGGAATGTCTGAATTCAGAATTCAGCATGTGCATTACCTCACATACTTGTAACTAAATGAAAGCTCTGTTGTGGTGATGTAATCTTTCCTTCCTGTTTTCTACATCTTGTCCTTAAAACTGCATGCTTACTTGAGGAAAAAACGTGATAAGGGACAGTGCCACAGGATGGGCTCAGATGCACCAGACAAAGGGCAGGGGAATCCACGGGGGCAGGACAGGGACGAGGAGAGGCCTTCTGTCCTGGGGCTGTGGGCCCAGGCCGGGGCTGAGCAGACCACCAGGGAACACAGGGTCCAGAGTCAGGAGGAGCCGGGTCCTGGGGAAGCAGTGTCAGTGGAGGAGTGCGAACCAGACAGGACACGTTTTCATGCCATGGAGACAGGGGAGCTCCTTCCTTCAGCCTTGTCACCTCTCCTCAGCTCAGGAGTCCTGCAGAGCACAGGGGACAGTGGCCTTTCCAGACCTAACCCTGCAGTGGCTTCTCTCACCACCCCAGGCCTCTCCTGACAGCGTGACGTGAGCAGAGGAACTTCTCAGGCCCCAAGTCAACACTGCTTCAGAGCACAGGCCTTCAGTAAGTGCAGGAACAAGGCTCAGTGTGAACCGCTGGCCGGACCCTGGCAGTGCCCAGTAGCTCTTCCTTCTCTGCGCTTCTCAACCTGTTCTTCCAGGCTGCTTACTCTTTCTCTTACCTGCAAGTCACTGTTCCTCAGGTTGCACCCTAGCAGCCGTAGACTGTTGCGTTCAGAAGCTGCTTAGAGTTTGAGGTCACCTAGGGGATGGCCGTCTTCACAGAGGTTCTACTGACGCCCTGATAACTAACTTCAGCAAAGCCTCTGTAAGGCTTCGGTCCTTAATTACGTCATCAGTCTGTGATGGTGTCCCAGCCTAAAAAGCGGGTGGGCCCTCTGTGTGTCCCTCTCTTTCCTTTCCGCTCTTTCCTTCCATCTGCTCCTCTCTCTCTGTCCTCCCTCTCTCCCTCCCTCTCTCTCCCCCCCTTCTCTCTAAAATAAAACTCTAAAAAGGTAACCATGGCTGTGATTCTTCCAATCAGCACTCTCTTCCACTGGCATGGCCGCCGCCCGCAGCGGCCAGACACGGGGAGCAGCGCCACAGCATAACCAACAACCGCTCTCCCCTGAAGTGCTATGGAGACTATGGACCACCACCAGGCTCTTTACCTGTCGGTTCCTGAAGCAGATGAACAGCCCCCCTGCAAAGGACAGCAGACCCAGCACACCGACCACAACTCCACTCAGCGTCTTGCTCCGTGCTGACGTGGACTGCGCCCCTGAGGAGGGAAGCCAGGTGTGGGTTTTATCTCAAAGTCAGCACCCCTCATTGGGGCCCTGATAGTGAGAGCTCTAGGGGAGCCAGAGCTGGCCACTCCTGGAAAGACATTCCAGAGCCACACAAAGCCGCCTGCGTGGAAGACTGCAGCTGCAGCCATGGATGGGAAGGCAGATATCTGCTGCTGCTTTATAATCCACACTAGCCCTCACAATGGAACTCGTGACAGCATTTCTGTTAGCACAGCCGCAGCAGCCGGTGGCTGGGTAGTGCTGCATATTACACATGCTGGCCAACAACATGGTACCCACGAGCGGTCTCTACAACCAACAGAAAAGGAGCATATCAGACCGAGAAGCCAACTGTGGTGCCCGCAGGCATTTTCTGAGGGCACCAGCCACAGACACAGGGTCAGAGTGGAACCAGACCAAGAGGAACCATGTACATCGTGACCCAGACCCAGAGCGGCCTTTGTCTCTGTCCTGCTACAGATTCATCTGCACTTCGTCCCCTGCTGGACTCATCTGCACATCAAACATCTTCAGGTGTGGAGTCCACCTTCTCTTGCACTTGTGGGATGACATGAACTGGGGCGGCTGCCTGGGGTTCATGAGTAACTTGGTCCAATATCACCGGGAGCTCTGGAGAAAGCAGCCTGTTGTGGAGGACATACATCGCACTTAAGAGTCCTCTGCACTGTAGAGAACTGAAGTTGGTGAAATGCATCATTCACTGACTGTGTTGTTGATGTTTTTCAGGATGGGGTTTCTCTGTGTAGCCCTGGCCTTCCTGGAATTTGCTCTGTAGACCAGGCTGGCCTTGAACTCAGAGATCTGCCTGCCTCTGCCTCCCGAGGGCTGAGAGTAGGATGGCCAGTAAAGCCTGGGCCAGCAGCTCCACTTTACTCTTGATAGCTGCTGTCCTGAGGAGGTGCATCTAGTTTCAGTTCCTTTCTGGGGTCATGGCCTAAACTTTAGAGGTACACTTTCTTGCCAGAGAACCTCACTCCTACTGTGTGCTGTGCTGGCGATATTTGTCTTCATTGACATGTTTAGCAGGAGGCACTCGGAACTTTCACTCAGTCTTTCTAATTATTTTATTTTTCAATGACTTTCTGTTTGGGAACATTTCCACGTAGCTCCCTTCTTAATCAGCAGTATAGTGGGTGTAGACATTGAACTAGGTAAGGAATAAAGGCTGGTAACTTGGAAAGTTTATGCGTTATTCCCTGTGGAATAAGCCACGCCCCCTACCTGGTGGGCGGGGAGTCTCAGGGTCAGAGAGCTGATAGGCTGGGGTAAACCACGCCCCCTCCCTGGTGGGCGGGGAGTCTCAGGGTCAGGAGCTTCCCACTCACTCCACTTCACTGTGGCAGGGCTGGTCAGGCTGGCATGCTCCACCTGGCAGGTGTAAACCTCTTCACTCTGAGGAACCGTCTCCAGCATCACCAGGGTCTGGAAGGTCCAGTCTCCATTCCGGATCAGGCCGGTGGACACAACCCCAGTCTTCTCCTCTTGGCCGTTCCGGAACCATCTGACTTCAATGTGTCCGGGGTAGAAGCCGCTCACAGAGCAGACCAGGAGGTTGTGGTGGTCCAGGGGCCGCGTCTTTGTCGGGTACACAGTCACCTTGGGCTCAGCTAGAGGAGAAAGGGAGGTGAGAATAAGTCACGAGGGCGGAGTGTCCTCCCAGGTTGTCTGTCTGTCTGCTCCATCCACCCAGGTCAAGTCCAGGCAGGATTCCCAAACTTTCCGTGACGTTGATCCTGATCGCAGGGGCCCGTTAGATCTGAGGAACTCTAAGGTTTTATTTTATAGCTTGAAAAAATAATTCATTATTGAACTGAAATCTTTTCAGTTTTTCAACTGAAAGCAGTGTGGCCGGATTGTGGGCACAGCACCTCAAGGCACGTACACCCCCAAATAGCTCAGGAATGGTTCTACCCTGGGAAACAGGCACAGAGAGAGGTGATTCTCCGGGTTTGGGAAGAAATAAAAATCTAAAAAGTCTTTACATTTAGGGCCAGTGAGATGGCTCATGAGGTAAAAGTGATTGCTGCCAAGACCGGTGACCTGAGTTCAACTCCCAGGACCCATGTGGTGGAGGGAGAGACTCGGTCCTGCAAGCTGTCTTGTGATCCCCACACACGTGACACGGCATTCTCTTCTCTCTCTGTCTCTTTCTGTTTCACTGTCTCTGCCTCTCAGTCTCTGTCTCTCTGCCTCTGTCTCTGTCTTTCTGTCTGTCTCTCTTTCTCTCTCTCACACACACACACATACACACACAGACACACGACGTGACACTCTCTTTTGCAAAACAAACTTACCTGAAATCAGAATTGCTGTCATTGTATAACTGTGTCTCTTTCTGAGCTGACACTTGAGGCCCAGCCAGGGTCTGGGGCTCACTGTTACCGGGGCTTGGTCTTGGGACAGTCCTTCACACACCAGCCTCTATGGGGCATTCATTTTAAAGGAGGAACCTGGGGAAACGTTTCCTCTCAATCCTGAGAAATGACACTTCTAGGACCGATTGGCACACACTAACATTTTTTCAGAAATTCTCATGAATAAAAATGTCTTCAGTATTTGATAGCTATTTGAGTTGTTTTAACTTTTTTACTATTAGCAACACACTGCTGTAAACCTTCATGTACATGTTTCATAGGTGCACATTTTCAGTAGTTTGAGGATATATTCCTAAGGGTAGAATTGTTGAGTAACAGAGTAACAATGTTTTGCATTTTGACCAACCACCAAACTGTTTTGCCAAAGTGGCACACCATTTTACAATCTCACCAAATCCTTGTTTTTAAGGCTCTGGTTTTTGTACAAAAGCATTCAATCATTCTGTCAGACCAAACCAGGAAAAGTAAGCTATAGTTCAGAGTTGTTCTATTCCATTTACTATGCAAAGCCATTCTTGGCGTTTGCAACTCTCAGCCCTTTTGAGTATTCTTGCAGTGTTCACCTTTTCCTCCACCACTTTTTTTTTTCTTCTTTTTTTTCTGGTTTATTTCTATCTATTACAAATGTATAAAAAATTCATTCATAAAAATGAATGAGAAACTGACAGATTAAATGACTTTGGTGAACCTTCATAATTTCATTTGTAGATCTTTCCATTTCTAATTTATAAATACATTTGGGGTTATAAATTATAAATGTACTGCCTCCTGTTAACATTGTATACTTCTATTTGATGATTTCTGTGTCAAACATTATATGGAAATGTTTCCAAGTATTTTCTGTATTAACTGTGAATGAATAGAACAAAATAAATTGCCTGTGATGAAAAAAAAATGTCTTCAAAGAAAGCAATGAAAAATAAAAATATAAACCCTAAACTGGGGAAATTACCAAAGCAAATGTCAGTGAAGTGTCAGCAGAGAAATTTCATAAACAGTCTATGGCCACACAGCCCTGAATAGGCCCAATCTCACCTCCGAAGCTAAGCAAGGGGGCTGGGGAGGTGGCTCAGCAGTTAAAAGCACTTGCTGCTCTTGCAGAGGACCCAAGTTCTTTTCTGGGGGCCCACAACCACTTGTTAACTCTAGCTCTAGGGGATCCAGCGCCCTCTTCTGGCCTCTGTGAGCACTGCACTCACATGCACACATATATGTATGTAATTAAAAATAAAATAACATATTTTCAAGAAGCTAAGCAGCATCAGGCCTGGTTAAAATGTGCATGGGAGATTCTGGAAATCACTGAGGAAAATACTGGAATTCAGGGTAGTGGACAATGAGCGAAGCTTAATGTTTTAGTTAGGGTCTCTATTGCCATGAAGAGCCACAGTGGCCACGGCAACTCTTATAAAGTAAAACATTTAATTGGGGTGGCTCACTGTCTCTTACACATGTATTTATGAGCGACCTACCCTACCGTGGGTGCTGGAAACTGAACTTGACTCCTCTGGAAGAGCAGCAAGCGCCCTTAACCACTGAGCCATCTTTTCAGACTGTCTAACCATTTTAATGATGTAAAATACATATGCTAAGAAAGAAAACAAACAAAAAGGAGGAACTTTAAAAAATATTTTGTTTTTATTTTTAATTATGTGCATGCATGAGTGCATGTGCATATGTTTCCGTGTGTGTGTGTGTGTGTGTGTGTGTGTGTGTGTTTCTGTGTGTGCACGCATTTTCATGTGTGTGTGTGTGCAACACTCATGGGGGCCAGTAGAGGGACTCAGATCCCCTGGGGCTGGAGTTACAGGCTTCTGTGAGCCGCAGACGTGGGTACTAAGAACTGTAAGGACAGTACTTGCTCTGAACCACTGAGCTCTCTGCTTCCCCTGGAGGACCTTTTGACCAACAAGAATCCTCAAGAAGATCACAAGTGCCTCAGAGTTTCACACACACACACACACACACACACACACACACACACACACACACACTTTCACCTATGCATCTCCAGCCCAATGTTTACCTTTTAACTTCAACAGGAACCACTCAACAAGCGCATAGTTATTTCTGCACCTGTCCACTGAGGCCCGATAGTTGTCCAGGACGTCCTTCTGGCTATTCAAGTCCTCAGCTATGGGCTGCCCCAGCTCAGTCACTGCCAGGAACTTCCCAACGTCACTGTCAAAGCGGGCAAACTCTTCCTGGTTATAGATGAATCTGGTCACACTCCTCACACGCTCCCTCCCGTTGAGGTAACGGCACTCGGCCTTCAGCTGCAGCAGAAAACGTGCTGTGGGGACAGGAACACACTCCATCACAGGCTGTCTGGGAGGAGACTCGGAATGCCCCAAACTGGGGGTCAGCGAAGGGAGCTATGACACCTGCAAGGAACTCGCCTCCTGACAAAGACAACTTAGGGGGGAGCAAGGGCTTTGTATGATCATTTCAGAGTACAGTCTATGACTGCCAGCAACTCAACACAAGAACTTACAGCATCGTGTCCACAGTCAGGAGCAGAGAGAGAATAAACACATGGATCCTCACATCTCTCATTTAGCTTCCTCCTCTCTAATATCCTTCAAGGACCCTGCCTAGGGAATGGAGCCACCCACAGTGGGCTGAGCCTACCCACATCAACTAACAATCAAGACAGTCCCTTACAGACATGCCCACAGGCCATCCTGATATAGATAATTCCTCACTAAGACGATCTTCCCGGGTGATTTGATTCCAGTTATGTCAAGTTGACAGTTAAAACTAACCAGCACAAAAACCATGCAGGACAGGGAAACCCTTCTGATCCTGCTCCATCCACTACCTGCTGCCCCTTCTCATGCCCACAGGTCTTCACCCTCACCTTAAACAGGATCCATCTAAAACAGTCAGTCTACAAAACACCCCTGTGTGCTGATCCTGTGTCAGGCCTTGCTGCCCCTGGGAACCCTGAGAGGGGAAATTCAATCTCTCCTTTCCACTCTTGGAGTTTGAAATTGTGGAAGTAAGGGATGAAATTATCCAAGGACAAGGGAATTCAAACAGAGGCACGTCTATTAACAGAGGATAACGGGCAGATGCTAGAGACGTGGCACAGGACACTAAGGAGCGGCTTCTCAGAAGGGTAAGTTGCTGTGGGATGTTCTGTATGTCCTGTGGGAGCCCTTCTTGGGTTCTTTGTGGCGTTACCCAGCAGGTCCGCATAGAGGATGATTAGGACCATGGGCCTGAGTGCAGGTGTTTGAGATGGTCTGCACTTGGCTGTGCTGGGGGATGGTCTGTATGTCAAGTTGTTCTGATTGGTTAATAAATAAAACCTGATCAGCCATGGCTAGGCAGGAAAGATAGGCGGGACTAGCAGAGAGGAGAAATAAAAGGACAGAAAGGCAGAAAGAGAGGTTGTGCAGCCGCCGCAATGACCAGAGAGGCTGCAGCCACCGCCATGACCAGCAGTATGTGAAGATGCCGATAAGCCACCAGCCACATGGCGAGGTATAGATTTGTAGAAATGGATTACTTTAAGATATAGATTTATGGAATGCGTTAATTTAAGATATAAGAATAGTTAACAAGAAGCCTGCCACGGCCATACAGTTTGTAAGCAATATAAAGTCTCTGTGTTTACTTGGTTGGGTTTGAGCGGCTGTGGGACTGGCGGGTGACAGAGATTTGTCCTGACTGTGGGCAAGGCAGGAAAACTCAAGCTACAGTAAGTTGATGTCATCTAGAAGAATGAGGGTGGATAAGGGGAAGGAAGCGGGTGTGGCGACAAACACCCTTGTGAAAAGTCGGAAAGAGTCGATGAACTTCAAGGAAACTGAGGACATGGGGCTGAGAACGTGAGGGTCAGAGGCGCTCAGCAATCAGGCTGCAGGGGTCATGGGATCCCAATCGCTTCGAAGACGTGACTTCCCGAGCAAAAGGAAACTGTAGGGGGTCGCGGTGGATCTGCTGTTGTAGAGGAAGCATCTGTGGGGCCAATGGTGGGACGGTACCAGCTGGCACAGGGGTGAACGCAGTGTGACGGGCGGGCAGAGTTCCCGCTGCCCAAACACCCCTGTGCAGTGAGTACCACCGCTGTCACTCATAACAAACGCACAGTGGAGTCAAATGGCTTCTCCACGTTGCACGTCCATGGCAGTGTGAGAAAGAGTTAGGCTGGGATGGGGATCTGGCAGTGATGTCATGGTGTATCACAACCTACACACCTCATGTAAAACTCCCTGGGGAGATAC